AAAAGGCAAAAAAGAACACAAAAAAACAAAACTTAACTGGCACAGGAAATACATTAACCCACCAGAATCAACACTCACAGTAAGCAGTTTTCTGGAATTCACCTTCAGATAATGTACTGTGGCAAGTGAGGGCCTGAGAGAGGGCAGTAGAGGGTACTGGGAGAGGGCTCTGGCAAGTAGCTATTTATCTACTGATAAGAATTTAGGTGAGAGGCACTATTGAACATTGATCCTAAGGCCTTACGCATACTAATGAATGCTCTACAGTTGGGCTATATCCCTGGTGCATATATATTTGAGATAGTATCTTGCTATGTTGCCCAGGTAGCTCTGAACTTGGAATCCTCCTGCCTCAGCTTCCCATGAGTGGCTTGGATTACAGGTATGTGCCACCATGCCTGGCAAAAAAGTATTTAAAGATCTGGGGTTTTGTTGTTGTTTTGGGGACAGGCTCTCCTGGTAGCCCCATCTAGCCTGGAATTCAATATGTAGGCCAGGCTTATCTGAATCTCATAGATATCCACCTGCCTCTGCCTCCTGAGTGTGCTCGGCAGTATTTTAAGATCTGAATAACTTGGGGCTGGAGAGATGACTCAGTGATTAAGAGCCCTGGCTACTCTTGAAAAGGACCCAGGTTCGATTCCTAGCACCCACATGGCAGTTAACAACTGCCTGTAACTCCAGTTTCAGAGAATCTGATGCTCTCTTCTGATCTTCACCAGCATTGTATGACATGGGTACACCTACCTACATGCAAGCAATACACTCATGCGCACAAAAATAAAAATAATAAGTAAAATATATTAAAAAACAATTTTAACAGGCAAGAAGGACTGAACTAACTCCTCTAAACCAAAGGGCTTGGCTGGATGGGTTTAAAGTGCTGGGTGGGAGAATCATAGGCCACCTGTGTACAATAATTGGCCTTGATAACCCCAAAGTTAGGTACTTACCCTTTCGCCATTGCTGGGAGATGAAGGTACTAGCTCCTTCCACATTTATGCTGCAAAAAGATGGATCTTATGTCTTTCTGAACGACATTCCTGAATGAAACTGGAAGTCACAAGTACAATTATCCCTTTGAATCTGGAGTTCTATCTGAAAATTCAACCAACTAAAATATTCAAAACTAGTTTTAAAAATTGCATGTGAACTGCATGCATTGTTCCCTAACTCATATAGCACAATTATTTATATAACATTTACATTGTATTGGGAATTATAAGTATCTAGAGATGACTTGAAGTATATGGGAGCCAGGCATTGTGATGTAGGACTATATTCCCAGCATTTGAGAAGCTGAGACAGGAGGATTGTGAATTCATGGTCAGCCTGGGCTACATAGCACATTTGAGGTCATTTTGAACTATGTAGCAAAGCCATGTCCCCCCAAAAGAAATATACAAAAAATAAAGTATATAGAAAATGTGCATATGTTATATGCAAATATGCCACTTTTATATAAGGGATGTAAGCCCTTTGGGTATCTGTGGGGACTTCTGGAACTAATCTCTCTATATGTCTGGATATTTGAAGGGAGCAAAAGAAACATTTATAATCTCAAGTCTTCTAAAGTGAATAGTCTAAGAAAAGGTAAGTCAGAGTGTCCTAGAGGCAGGAAGAAATTTGTTTAAAGTTTAGCCAAACTAGGGAAATGTTAAAAAGCTATCTTGATGATCCTTTTAGTTAGCCCCTCATAAGTACACCCCCAAATTCACTCTTTCTGTTGGAGAAGGACCTCAACTCCAGGAACATATGAATGTGAAAATTTCAGGCCCCTGTATGAGTTCCTTCTTATGAATGGCCCACTCACATGACCACATGAATGCTTCCTTTTAATGCTCTCAGGCAAGAGTATTTTCATTGAGTAATTCAATAAACATTTATGAGGCAGCTAGCTGTACCAGATGGTACACTGGGTATGAACCAGGTAGAAACTCCCCTCAAAGCATCATAGGAGACAGATAAATAAGACAGATGAATAAATGAAAGTTTTAAACATGATATGAAAGTCCTTAAAGTCATCTGGAGACTCAGATATCTACCCAACAGAAATAAAAGCATATGCCCACACCAGCACTTGCACACAAAAATGCACTGTGTAACATTATACACAGTGAGCAAAGGATGGTAACAACTCATTGCCTATCAACTGATAAAAGACAAAACATGGCATACCCTTATTATTCAGTATTCTTCAATAATAAAAAGAACTGAAGTTCTGATATATGTCATACCAAGGATAAACCTCAAAACATTATGCCAGCTGAAAGAAGCCAGACATAGAAGGCCACATGTTGTATGGTTCCGTTCAGATGAAATGATAAAAGTAGGCAAATTCATAGTCACAGAGCATACATGAGAGGTTGCCAAAAGCCTTGGTGTTGAGGAAAATGGGAAAATGACTGCTAATGAATGTGGGGATTCTTTCTAAGGTAACAAAAGGGCTATAAAGTTGATTGTGGTGATGGTTACCCTTTTTGTGAATACTATAAATGAGTAAATAATATGGTGTATAAATTACATCTCAAAAAAATGTGTCACAATGGGAGATGGAGAGATGACTCAGCAGGTAAGAGAACTTGCTGCTCAAGCATGAAGACTGGAGTTCAGATTCCAGTACTCATATCAGGCAACTTAAAATTAATTGCCTGTATCTCCAGTGTATAATTTAAATGAGTAAAAAATATGGTATATAAATTACATCCCAAAAAATGTGTCACAGCTGGGTGTGGTAGTGCACATCTGTAGTCCCAGCACTTGGAAGGCAGAGGCAGGTGGATCTCTATGAGTTCAAGGCCAACCTGGTTTACATAGTGAGTTCCAGCCAGCTGGGGCTACAGGGAAACCCTGTCTCAAAAAGACAAAAAAAAGTATTACAGTGGGAGATGGAGAGATAACTCAGCAGTTAAGAGCACTTGCTGCTCAATCATGATGACAAGAGTTCAGATCCCAGTACCCATACCAGGAAACTTAAAATTAATTGCCTGTATCTCCAGCTCCAAGGGATCTGAATTTTCTTCTGGTCTCTTTGGGCACCTGCACACACACGTGTGCATACACTCACAAAGACACATGCACACATATACATATTTTAAATTTCTTTTTATGAGTTTATTTTAATGAGAGATTACTTTTTCATGCTAATCTCATTCTTTTCTTTGAAATACATCTCGTCTGTTTTGTTTTTATCATAGGTTGATCATTTTGGATTTTTTAATACAAAAATTTTTAAGCAGCAGTTCCTAATAGCTGATAAATATTGGAAGACATTTGATGGTGTAATACTTTTCTACACTGGTAATGAAGGGGACATTACTTGGTTTTCAAATCATACAGAAATGTTACAGGCCAGGCGTGGTGATGCACACCGTTAATCCTAGCACTTGGGAGACAGAGGCAGGTGAGTCTCTGTGAGTTTGAGGCTAGCCTGATGTACATAGTGAGTTCCAGGCCAGTTGGGGCTACAGGGAGACTCTGTCTCAAAAATACCCCCCAAAATAATAATAAAATAACAATAAAATAATAAAATGGTAACAAAACCACAAAAATACACATATGTGTATTAACTAATGTGAAAATAGCTTCAGGACACTCATGTGCAGGAGTCAATGAGCAGGGCATGGTATAGGGACTTCAAAGAAAGATTAAGAAGGTAACCTCTGAAGGCTAAGGTTCTCAAAGCCCTGTGAGAGTGGAAGGCAGCTTAGAAATAAGCGATAGATGTTTTCTTTTAATGTTCTTAAGCAAGAATATTTTCACAGACTGATTCAGTAAATACTTAAGAAGCAGCTGGTTTGAGCTAGGGAATATATTAGGCATTATGAGATGGAAATTTCCCCTCAAAGAGACCTCAAGGCACTAAAGAACATACATACATGAAGCCAGATTAGAATGGAAGGCTTTGTCACAGTCCCAGAATAGCCAGGCCTCCTTGTGGACCTGCAGGTACCTCAGTGGTTCTAGAACACAGGAGTTTGTGGAGAAGCTGGAGGCAGACACTGGCTGGGTACTGGGAGAAGTTTGATCTTCATCTTCAGAGAGACACAGGAGAGGCTGACAAATATGAGCACAAGCCCCAGGTCCAGGCTTCTTGGCTCAATTCCAGCTCTGGATTTACCCAGCTTCACAGACTTAGCAAGTCACTTTACCTCCCCAACCTTAATACCCTCCTCTGTCAGACTGACATGAGAATTAGTGCTAATGTATCCAAAGTCCTTGGAATGGGGCCTAGAAGGCTTTGAGCATCCAAGAATGCCTGCTAATGTGACAGTATAATGAGCCATTGGGAATTGACTGAGGGCTACTCAAGATGGAGAAATTAGAGTAAAATGAGACTTGGAGAAGGATGTTGCAACAGTCCAAGATGATGTCTGGTGATGTCAGGAGCAGTGGGGATGGCAAGAGCAGGGAGCATTTGAAAAGGTTGAAGAACCACAATTACTAAGATGTGGTGACCAGTGAGGTAAGGGAAGGACGAGGGTGGGAGGTGCATGTTTAAGGTGGCTTCTGAGTTTTTGATTGGGGTAAATGGGTGGTTGGATGGTGAGATTTGTTCCTAAAATGGAGAAAGCAGAAAGAGAAAAAAGCGGAGATAAAACATAAGAAACATGTGGTAGCTCATGCCTTTAATCCCAGCACTTGGGGGTCAAAGGCAGGGGGATCTCTATGAGATCAGTCTGGTCTACATAGCAACCCTGGGGTTACAGGGAGACCGTGTCTCAAAAAAAAAAAAGTAAAAGGAACCATTTCATGAGGTGGGCTCCCATAGAAGTTGGCTCTGTGATTGGTATGTGAGGGTTAGAGGGCCCCTACATATGATCTGGCAAACCCACTAAGTCCAGGACTTTCCTGTATGTCCTATCCCACAGTGCTGCAGGAGGGCACCAGCGCTTCTGTGGGCAGCAAACAGGCAGCCAAAGAGACCCAGGAAGGTGCGTATAGGGCCACCCTTAGATTCAGAGCAGCTGGATCCTGCTCCCCTATTCCCCAGGACCCCCATGCTGGTTGTGAAGGAATCCTTTCTAGTTTCAGGTATGAAACAGATTTTCACGCAAGAATCAGATGCTTCAAATTTCCTCAAGAGGCGTGGCAAGCAGTCTCCCAAATCCCAAGACGAGGTCAATGGTAAGGATGATGGGTGGGCTTCCTCCCACAGTGGAAGACCAAAGCCCTGGGCATCAGGATGACTGTAGCTCTGAATTAGAAATGGCTCAATGGGTGAAGATGACCTGACTTCGAACCCTGGGACCCACATGGTGGAGGGAGAGAACTGACTCCCACAAGTTGTCCTCTGACCTCCATACACATGCTGTGGCACACAAATGCCCCCCCCACACACACCATGAAATAAAAATGTAGAAACACTATTTCCCCGGTTGTGGGTCACAGGTTGAACTGAATGTAGTATGGGGTGAGGAACAACAAAGAGCACTGCCACATTGAGAGCACCCAGGATATATCCAGATTCAGAAAGGGGGAAAAGGCAAAGAGAACTCTGATTGGAACTAAAGGGAACAGAGCACTTCAGTGTGCTTTTTAGGTTACTGGCATGGCGCATTGTTGAACAAGGAGGCACATAGTTAAAGAGCACTGGGGACCAGAGAGCTGAGAAGTGTGGGTTTGGTGACAGCTCTGCTGTGAGTGGTCTGCCACCTTCTATCTGTGCTCCCAATTTCTTAGCCATAAACCCCTGAAAGCTGTGTCCAGACGGCCATGTTTTTCAAAGTTTTAATTTCCAGTAAGTTTGGGGGAGAGCATCTCCAGCACTCCAGAGAAACTGGAATCCCATGGATGTTGGACCCTGGTATCCTTGACCTGCCAGCCCTGGAGGCTTTGGAGTTTCCTAACCACTGAACTCGATTCTTCTAAGACTGAGCTCAGACTCCATGCTCCTTATACATGTAAATGAATGAACTCTTTGTGTCTTTCAACACGTTCAAAAAGTTGACTTCTTGTTCAGTACAAACAACTGAATTGTTTTCAAATGATGGGGAAGAACATGGATGGAAATGCTTGATTATTCTTTTTCTTTTTAAAAATTGGATAAGTATATAACCTACCACACTAGGAAAATTGCCAGACCTCATAGAAGTCGGGATGTGAAAGTGGGCCAAAGTCAAACAACACTGAAAAGTTGTGGTAGAAGTGGAGTCCTTGATTATAATCAGAGAAGCAACTTCTGGCAGACTTTAGAGAGGAAACAGGTATGACTTTAGAACAGACAATTGTTTTCCGTCCTAGAAAGTGACTCAGAATGAGATGCATGATTAAGCCTGAGGTCTCTGCCTTGGAGAGAGCTCAGTTCATCGGGCAGTGGTGGAGACCCAGAGTATCCAGGTGAATGCCCAGGACTGTACATCAGTGGATCAGCAGTCACCTAGCCAAGTTATGTGGACAGGCAAGGGAGCAACAGCCTTGCAATTAATTTGAACTTGGCCAGCCGACAACCTTGGGTGTTGCTTTCCACCTTTTTGTATGTATGTGTGAGTCAGAGTGGCTTGAACTTTTGAAGTAAGCTAGGTTTGCTGGCTAAGCAAACCCCTGGGATGTGCCTGTCCCCTCCTCCCCAGCTCTGGGATTACAAGTGCATGACATCATGCCCAGGTTTAAAAAAAAACAAAAAACATGGGCTTTCCACCTTTTTGTATGTATGTGTGAGTCAGAGTGGCTTGAACTTTTGAAGTAAGCTAGGTTTGCTGGCTAAGCAAACCCCTGGGATGTGCCTGTCCCCTCCTCCCCAGCTCTGGGATTACAAGTGCATGACATCATGCCCAGGTTTAAAAAAAAAACAAAAAACATGGGCTCCAAGAAGGAATGCCTACAATGCATACAGTGATACGTACTATAAAATACCTTTAGAAATGTTTTGATTTATTTTTATTTCATGTATATGAGTGTTTTACCTGAATGTAAATAAGTGTACCCATGTTGTGCAATGCCCATGGAGGCTAGAAGGGGATGTCAGATCCCCTGGAACTGGAGTTATGGACAGTTGTTAGTTACCATGTGGGTGCTTGGACCTGAACCCTGGTCCTCTACAAGAGGACCACTGAGACATCTCTCTAGCCCCTAAAATATCTTTTTGATTAGAGACAATTAAATCATTCTTAGTTGTTATTACATTAAGTGTGCATTTTTTGTACCTCTAGGAAGATGGTTTCTTTTACTAAGTGTACAGAGGATGGAAGTTCTTTAGGAATTGGCAGTCACTGCAGCACCTTTTTGGTATCTGGAGCCACATCAGAGCCTCTAGGGCATCAGAAGGGGAAGGAAGCCATGCAAGGTATGCTTGGCCAGTGCTCTGGCCAGCTGTGTGATCTCCATTAAGTCATGATGCCTCTCTGAGCCTGAATCTTCTCCTGAGAAATCCATAGGGTCGGGGGATGGACTGGACTACATATCCTTTCTATCGGGCTGATGTTTTCTGCCATTGTAAATAAATACAGGCTTTTGTGAAGAAACATAGGACCTACCGAAGAATCCGTACTAAGACAAATTCACAGATGATCTGTTTTTTTTTTAAATTATTTTTATTTTATGTGTATGAGTGCATTGTCTGCATGTGTGTAAGTGCATCTGTGTTGTGCAATGCCTGTGGCAGTCAAAAGAAGGCATCAGATTCCCTGGAACCGGAGTTACAGATGGTTGGTAGCTGCCATGTGGGTGCTGGGAATTGAACCCGGATCCTCTACAAGAGCAGTCAGTGCTCTTAACCGCTGATCCATCTCTCCAGCCCATAATCTGGTTTTTAATGTGTTAAATAATATAAATAAGTAGTACACAGTTTACTAATGGACACTCTTTGCTTCTAAGAGGAATTTGAAATACTCTTTCTGTCTTCTTTCCTTCCCTTCCTTCCTTCTCTTCCCTCTATTTCTTCTTTTTTTTTAATGTGTATGCATGTATTGCCTGCATGTAGGTAAGTGCACCCGTGTCATGCAATGCCCGCAGAGGTCAGAAGAGGCTGTCAGACCCCCTAGGACTGGAGTTATGGACAGTTGTTAGTTGCCATGTGGGTGCTGGGATTTGAACCCAGGTCTTCTGCAAGAACAACCCGTGTTCTTAGCCGCTGAGCCATCTCTCCAGCCCCTCTTCCCTCTATTTCTACTTCTTTTCTTCCCCCTTTCCTCCTTTCTTTTCTTTAAAAATTAAAAAAAAAATTATGGGGCTGGAGAGATGGCTCAGTGGTTAAGAGCACTGACTGCTCTTGCAGAGGATCTGGATCCGAATCCCAGCACTCACATGGGGGCTAACAACCATACATAACTCCAGTTCCAGGGGAATCAAATGCTTTCTTCTGACTTCTGCAGGCATTGCACAACAAGGGTACATTTACCTATATGCAGGCAATACGCTCATATACATAAAATAAAAATAATAAATAAAAAATTTCCTAGAAATTTTATTTAGTGGGGGGGGGCACATACATTACACAGTATGTGTATGTAGGTCAGAGAACAACCTGTGGAAGTTGATTCTCTCTTTTCACCATGTTGGTTCTGGAGATTGAACTTAGGCTGTCAACCTTGGTGGCAAGCATCCTTACGTGCTGAACCATCTCCATGACCCCTTTCTTTCCTTTCTCTTCACTCCCTCCCCAAATCCTCTTTTCCCCAGTACTGGGGATTGAATCCAAGGTCTTGTGCATGTTAGGCAAGCACTCAACCAGCGAACTATTCTCCAGCCTGAGACAGTTTCTAATATTACAGTTTTGCAAAGAAATCCAGCACTGCTGTATTGCGATGTGGTGATGGGGGATCATGCCTTTCCTTGACTTTTCTGCTTCTCTCCTTTTTGCAGTGCAGAGGCAGTAAGTGAACTGCAGTACCCTCTGTGATGGCAGACCCCTTGAGAATGTGAGGTGTCCTGAGGAGCCAGGTCTTCCTGAAGTGGGTGTGACCTACATGCTGTCACTAAGTTCTCCAGTGGGTGCACACATTAGAACCTTGAAAGTAGAGAGCTTAAATAATACCCTCCTGACCACCAAAGCTGAGATTTTTATTTTAGCAGCCATCATGCTTGGTGAAAATTTATTGCTGTTGTTTTACGGTGTTGGGGATCAAATCCAAGGACTTGTACGTGCTAGGTAGGTGCTCTGCTATACAGCCACACCCCAAGCCTGCTGACATTTTGTTGAGGGCCCCTCCCTCTTATGTGGAAGGATAACATCTTCCTAATTTGCCTTAATTTTTTTTTAGAGAGGGTCTCCCTGTAGCCACACCTGGCCTGGATTCAGTATGGAGATCAGGCTGACCTCAAACTCACAGAGATCTGTCTGCCTCTGTCTCCCAAGTGCTGGGATTAAAGGTGTGTACCCCACGCCTGGCTCTTGCTTTCAAAATTTTAAAATTATTTGTGTATGTGTGTGGGTGCATGCCTGTCACAAAGCACATGTGTGGAGAAGTCAACTTAACAGTCAGAAGACAGCTTCTACCATGTGGGTTCCAGGGATCAAACTCAGGCCATCAGGCTTGATGGCATGTGTCTTCACCAGCTGAGCCATCTCACTGGACCCCCTTATCTACCTTTTTAATCCTACTTCCAGGCTGGGACAGGTGCTCAGAATTGCTGAATGGACTTGAAGTTATTCATCAATGTGAGATTGATTTAAACCCAATTAAACCTCTCATCTGTAAAATGGATCAATGGGACAGAATGGTTTCCCATACCCGTCAAGTTATATAGTCCATATAAGGCATGAACCAATTCTGCAAAGCCCTATACCTTTATCCTTCTTACACCAGATCCAGGTTCTCAGGTACACTGTCATGTCCCTCGACAGGTGCCCTCCATGCTTGAGAGCAGCTTTTGCATGTATTTTCTTTTCCCAGTGGAAAACAGGCAGAAACTGCAGGCTGATGAGCTGAGGAGAGAATATTATGGGGAGCAAAGGAATGAATTTGAGAACTTTGTGGAGGAACAAAAAGATAGTAAGTGCTCTCCAGCCAGCATCCTTGAGAAATAGAGTTTTGTGAGGAAAGCCCATGGCTTGCTCTCATGTCTTCATCCAGATGTTGCTTGGAGGATGGAGGTAAGGGGAGATCTATTTTCAGCTCCTATCCATGGAAAACTTGAAATAAAATCCCAAAATGACTATGTACAACTTGAAAAGTTATGGAAGAGGATAGAATACTTAGGGGAGTTGCTACTGGCTTGGGGACAGTTAAAGATCAGGGAGTTGTAACTGGATGGATGTTAAACTCCTGCCACTCCTGCTTAGGGATCAGTGTGTAGGTCTGTGGATCTAAGCACCCAAACCTGGGGCCTGGCTCCTGTACGGTGGTTGGGTAGGTATCAAACCCATGACCAATCACATTCCTTGGAGTCACATCAATGTAAGGACTCTAGGTGCTACCTTACCTTGGAAAATCAAGACCACCACTTACCTATTTATTATAGTCTTATTTTCTCTATTCCATCTTCAGGTGTGTGTGTTTATTTATGCATGTTTGCATATATATATATATATATATATATATATATATATGTGTGTGTGTGTGTGTGTGTGTGTAGGGGGGTGCACATGCACATGGGAACATGTATGTGGAAGCCTGAAGGTTGTTATCAGGAATCATCCCTAACCACTCTTCCACCTGATACATTGAGACAGGGTCTCTCAATCATATCTAAAGCTTGTTGATATGACTAGTCTCACTCTGGGAGTTCCTTGTCTCTGCCTTCTGAGGTTGGAATTACAAGTGGGCTGCCATACTACCCCACATTTTACATGATCTGAACTCTGGCCCTCACACTTGCATGGTAAGTACTTTAACTACTAAAAACCATCTACTAGGCCAATAAGCATCTTGCCTGATCAGTGGAAACAAAGGAAGACAACTGAACTCACAAAGTACTGGTTTCTTATTATCCTGCCTTGTACCCTACCTTCACATCTATAGTCCATCTTGGGTTCCAATCACCACTAGCATCATGGACCCTGGAAGGTTTGTTGCATGGTCTTCTGTGCCCTCATTCATCTGTTGGTAGTACCCTTTTTACTAAGCTTTTGCTTACCTCTTGTCAATAGATAGAGTAGAAAAGGTACAGGGAGCCCAGCATCTCTAACAGGCAATCGGCATATCTCATTATTCCCTGAGGGCTCCTATCTGCTCTCAGGACATGCTAGTTGCATGAACTCTCAGCAGAGGGTGTCTGTGGCGGGGGGAGACAGGAATGGAGGAACCATACCCCACCCAGAGGGATTTGACATTGCAAGTGTCACTCACAGCAAAAACCTATAGGAACATTTAATTGGGTGGGGAGGGGAGAGGGAGAAAGAGAGCAAATATAGTTCTCTTTTGCTCTTTCTCTACCTTCGAGATCAACATGCTCCTAAGCAAAATCTCTTGGAACCTTTCAGCGCACATAAGCTTGGGTACAAAGCCCTCATTAAGGTTTTCTTAAGAGAAACCAGCTCTTTTGGCTCTCCTGGCTCACTAGCTGATGGATGAGGAGGTACCTCCTCTAGAGGCGCCTCCTAGTGGAGAGATTGTCCATTGCCCTGCCATGAGGCTCCTGGCTAAGCCTTGCAAGCAGGTGTTGGGCTCAAACCCTAGGAAATCAAGACTTCTTGGGAACACAATGCAGAGGACTCAGACCATTATATCTCAGAAGCAAATACTTCTGTTAGAGACTTGTTGACCTTGGCGGGCACTGAGAAGAACTGTTTAGTTTTTTTTTTTTTTTAACTGAGAATTTGGCTTCCAAATTTCCTTCAGTGTGATTTTTACTCATAATTTCCATAGTAACAGTTGACTTGGGGAATTTTAAAATGTTTGAGGTCCTCAACAGGTCTGGCGGGGCAGGCATGCAATCCTAGCACTCAGTGGGTTGAACCAAGGGATCTCAAGTTTGAGGCCAACTTGGGCTATATAGTGAGACTCCCTTAAAAAACAAAAATAAAAAAAAAAAACAGAAAACAAAAGTGGAGACTGGAGAGATGGCTCAGTAGTCAAGAGCACTGCTAACAACCCTCTGTAAGTCCAGTTTCAGGGAATCCGACACCTTCTTCTGACCTCTGTGGGTATTACATGATATGTGTGTCCTTACCTACATGCAGGCAATGCGTATATTCATACATATAAAATAAATAAGAGGCCGGGTGTTGTGGCGCATGCCTTTAATCCCGGCATTCAGGAGGCAGATGCAGGTAGATAAGGCCAGGTCTACATAGTGAGTTCCAGGTCAGCTGAGGCCGCAGGGAGATCCTGTCTCAAAAAAGGCAATAAATAAATAAATAAATAAATAAATTTTTTCTGAGGAAAAAAAATAGGCATGGTTTATTTATTTATTTATTTATTTGGTCTTTTTGAGACAGGGTCTCCCTGTTGCCTCAGCTGACCTGGAACTTAATATGTAGACCACGCTGGCCTCAAACTCAGAGATCCACGTGCCTCTGCCTCTGCCTCCCAAGTTCTGGGATTAAAGGCAGGTGCCACCACGCCCAGCTATAAATAATTATTTTAATATATAAACAAAAGCTAAACAGAAATGTATCACTTCCAAATCTCCAGCACATGGGTGGAAAAATTCAGATTTTTTTTTCTTCCCTTTCATGAAGAATTGGGATATAGTTAGGCAACTCCAGGATGACAGGTCCTCTTAGAGGATACTAAGACTGCAGTCCTCAAGCCTCACCCTACAGGGAGGCTACTATGGAGCAAAGCCTGTCATTACAGCAGCTGTTAACACAGTATTTGTACTGAACCATCTAATTCCTGCAACTTGCCTCTGAGACAGGTCTTGCCATGAAAGACCGAGGCTTAGAAAGGGCACATGAATATCCAGGATGACGTGCTGGAAGAGGCCCTAGGAACAGTCCTTGGCATGTTTGCCAGCAAAGCTGCTGTTTTTATCCATCAAGGATGATCACATTCAAGGAGGCTTTTGGGTTCTTCCAATTGGCCCACACAGATGATGGCATGAACAGGGTAAAAGAGGGTGGCCTAAAGGGTCTTTCCAGAGCTCAAGAAGGAAGGGGCAAAGAGAGGGAGGTCTAGTTCCTCATAGGATAACATTTTGAAAAAGGTAGAATTCATCTCCCCCTCACTTGCCTCTCTGTCCCAGAGGTCTGGTTGCCTGAAACCTCACCATGCTCAAAGTATACACTTGAGTCTTTCTCTGAGCACCCTGCCCCTTGGGACCTGGTATCAGCTAGCTGTTTTACCTGATAGCTACCTGCTCTAAGATTAATTGGTGCTGGATATTTGAATTCTGCTGCTTCACAAAAGGGACGTCTAACAACAAAAAGATGCCTAATCAACTTCTATTCAAAATCACACTCTCAAAGAGGAGCTGCTCCACTAAGCTTGAGGAACATGTGGTAAGGCCTAAGGAGAACAGCCAAAACTCTGGCCTGGGTTGGGCTCTGGGTATGCAGTACCAAGCCTTGGGTACTAACTACCTAAGGGGATTTTCAGCACCAAAAGGAGAATCCCCAGCCACCATGGTGCCTGACAAAGTGGTAACTGGGTCTTCTTTCTTGGCCCAAACATCTGACTCTCACCTATGCTAAGGGCCATAGGGACATCCATTCTCTGCACATCTCCATGCCACTAACCTGAGGCCATACAGGATCCCAGGCTCACTAGTCCTCAAATAAGGTTCACAAACTTTTGAATCTCACATTTCAGAAAATCAAGGAAACAAAAACATTTTTAGGTTTTAATCCTAGAAATCACCTTCTTCTGTTAGGACTTCCCATCATTCAATCTTTTTTTTTTTTTTTTTTTTTTTTTTGAGACAGGGTCTCCCTGTAGCCCCAGTTGGCCTGGAACTTGCTATGTAGATCAGGTTGGCCTGGAACTCACAGAGATACGCCTGCCTCTGCCTCCCAAGTGCTGGAACTAAAGCCATGCACCACCACACCCAGCTCATTCAAACATTTTTAATGAATGCTTTCCTTTAAAAACAGTGGATATATATTTATCCATTTTAACCATTTTTAAGTATACAGGCCAGTGGCATTAGTACATTCATGCTGTATAACTGTCACCATTTCTACTACCCCAAACAGAAATCCTGTACTCACTAAGCAATAATTCCCTGTTCCTCTTTCCCCAGCACTGGTTGTCTCTAATGTATCTTCTGTCTGTTGGAATTTGCCTACTCTATTTCATGAACGGAATCACACTGTATTTGTCTTGTGTTTGCTTATTTCACTTGGCGTGTTTTCAAGGTTTATCCATAATAAAACATGGGCTATAATGTCATTCCTTTTAATGGCTTAATATTTGTGTATTATGTATACAACATTTTGTTTATGTGTAATTTCAGTTTTGGGGAAGTCAAGGCAGGAGAATAAGAAAGAAATTCAAGGTCATCCTTGGCTACATGAATTCAAGGCAAGCCTGGGGTATATAAGATCTTGTCTCAGAATAATTTTTTCCAAATATTAGAGGTCTTGTGACATCTGCTAGTGCCTTAATGACAACTAATAGTGAAAGGTAGTCTTAAGTTGGCACGAAAAGTTTAATTCTAAAGCTACACAAAGATGCTATTTGGAAATGTGTCTTACTTAAACACAAGTAAAATCAAGATTTTTCTTATTCACTAAAAACTTCCTTCAGGTGGGGTATGGTAGGCATGCTGTTAATCCCAGCTGGGCAGGTAGAGGGAGGCAGATCTCTGTGAGATCACATAGAAGATTCAGGCCAGCTAGGTATATAGGGAGACTCTGTCTCAAAATAAACAAAACCAAATAAAATCCCAAAACAAAACAAACTTCCTTCTATCCTTTTTCACTCCCAAGTGTTTCAAGCATGTGAAAAATTGTCCAGTATGAGCCCCATAGAATCAGCACCCCAAAGCCCATTTATGAAACTTTTCCCACACTTGCTTATCTATCCCTTTTCCACTTAGAAACAGAATTTTATCTTTGAAGCTTAGAAAATGTAGAACAAGCCAGATGTGGTGGCACACAGCTCAAATTCCAGCAGGATTATGAGTTTGAGGCCAGTCTGGACTGCATAATTAGTTCCAGGCTGGCCTGTGTTACATAACAAGACCTTGTCTCAAAAACAAGACAGAAGCGTATAAAGGGAAAAACTACTCATAATCCATTATTCCACACTGACAATGATTTCCACACACGGCTTTTTCTTTTAAGTTAAAATACTTTTAAATGTTTTAATTCTTTTTTTGGTATTTTTGAGACAGGTTCTTCCTGTAGTCCCAGCTTGCTTGGAACTCACTATGTAGACCAGGCTGGCCTTGAATTCACAGAGATCCGCCTGCCTCTGCTCTCAGGGGCTGAGATTAAAGGCATTATGTCACCATTCTTGGCTTAAAAATATCTTTTATACTTATTTCCTTTGTGTGTGTGTGTGTGTGTGTGTGTGTATGTATGTATGTATGTATGTATGGTGTGTGCACGTGCCATGGCATGCATGTGGAGGTCAGAAGACAACTTGTAGGAGTCAGTTCTTTCTACCATGTTGGTTCTGAGGCTCAAACTCAGGTCATCAGGTTTGGTGGCAAGCACCTCTACCTGCTGAGCCATCTCATTAGCCTCCATGCAGGATCTTTTCAAGGCACAACTTGTTCCCATGTGGCTATTATATTCTTACTTCTTAGTTTGGTGTCTTGTTATCTGTCTGAGCCAGGGACTGCATGAGCCCCTTCCTCCTATTGCTGGTAACGTAGGCAAGGCAGCTCAAGTGCCAGATGTTGGTCTTGTTCTGATTCTGCTGGCAGCCAGGTGTTACCCTTACTCTCGTTGTACTCATAGTCATGGGCCCCTTCTGCCTCCATTCTTGTAAGTCTCCAGGGCTCACAGGCACCCTTGGCTCATGTCAGCTGTTGGCAGGTGCTATGACCGATGGCTACTCAGCTGCTGGGCTGGGTGTCTGCAGTCTGCATAATCACTCCATCTTTCATTGCCAGAGCAGGAAAGGAGCCAGGAGGCAGTGGAACAGTGGCGGCAGTAGCATTACAATGGGCTGTACCCTTCTTATCTCTACAACCACCACATCTGACCTCACTCTGAGGCAGCTGGGAAGATGGAGCACGTAACAGCCTGTCCACCCTTGTACCAGCACCTCTCTCCTACACAGGCCCTTGAGGTGAGGCCCAGGTCTGTTGTGGCCAACAGCTCCAATAAACACACACTCCTTTTAGTGTGATGTATTACAATGCTTGGTTCTTGCTTCTATGTGTCTTTTGTTTTATTTTGTTTTGTTTTGTTTGAGGTGAGCAACTACCTGTGGCTCCTCCCAGTATTGCACTTACACCGTTGACCCCTTGTTTAGCCACTGTTCCTGAACTAGAACTCCCACCTGACAGGACAATTAAAAGCAGCACAGCAAAAAGATTTTATCTGCTTATAGCTTATAAATAAAAGTGTTGAATCAACCTTGTGTATCATCTTCACACAACTCCAAGGGCGCCACAAAGTGTCATGCTTAAAAGCATGATCTCCCACTGAGCTATACTCCCTGTCCTAACATTAAACACTGTTCACATCTTGGGCAGGCAGAATTGAGGAACCATCTTCTTAGTGCCAGGCACTCTGGTTTCGAAAGTTGCAGAATTAAGCTTGGAGCACAAGTCTCATCACAACAAAAGCCATAGCCAGGTTGTTTCCAGTGGCATGACACTTCTATAACTCCACGGTTATACTGTCACCAACCTCATTTCACTTTTCCTATACTGAGTAGTTTGGGATTGGCTTCTTTACAGGAAGTTTCTTTACCATGGTCCTGGTACAGGTTTGTCCAGCTTCCACACCAGGAAGCTTCTCTGTGGAGCAATAGGTGCTCAGGGAATCGTCTGGCGGTTTTAAGTTTCCCCCCCATAAACTATTTTACATTCAAACCACTGGCTGGTATGGTGTCTTCGTGCTGCCTTCACATGCCATTGTATATGCCAGAGTCCACACACCTATGCCTTCCTCAGTAAGAGGGATGAAACCTGAGTCCTGACTTCTACACCAGAAGCAGCAGCTTTCTCTGTGAAGAGGTTATCTGCTCAGTATTATTGGACATAGCTGCCAATCCTTTCTTAAAAGAAGCAAATTGAAAACATACACAGGTAAGCCTGGGGGAAGGAAACTGTAGAAATATATACTATTCATGGTGTCACCTTAGCTTCACCGATCAGACTAAATTAAACCAGACCTAACTAGGTCATGAGTGCCCTCCCACCTGCACAGTCTGCATATTCCTACCTCAATGCTTTGGCTCATCAGAAAAGCTGTTTAGGAACATACCTGCCATAGTTTGGATCTGGACTGTCCCAAAGGCCCATGTGTTTGAAGACATGGGACTCAATGTGGTGCTACTAGGAGGTGGTAGAAATTTAAGTGCACCCAGTATGAGGCCTTCTGGGGTTCTGGGATGTGTCCCTCAAGGGGACTATAGACCTTGGTGCTTTCCTTTCTATCTTGTACTTCCTAGCCATGAAACAAATAGTTTCGTTTTGTCACATGTTCCTGCCATGATATACCACCTCACCCAAAGTCAGAGGGTCAATCAATCATGAACTCCAAAATCAAGAAGGAAAACATAACCTTTCTCTCTTTATAAACTGCTTATCTCAGGTGTTTGCTACAAGGTCAGAAAGCTAAAATACTGTTGCTCCATCCAGACCTCTGGACATGCCATGCAGCTCTAAGTTATCAGTAGGAGACATTGATATAAGCTAATAACTTGGCAGATAACTCAACATTCATAGCTATTTTTACTTTATTATTTGAGGACACTGGGGTTACTTGGGAGGAATAAGCATCTCAGTTTTAAAAATAAACCTCAACAAAGAGTTGGGGTGGCTGACTTCTATCTGCTTAGTCTCTGATCTAAACTGGAGGAAGTGGTTTAAACAGAGCAAAAGTCAGAGATGTTCCTCTCTAACTTACTGGGCTGCAGACTCACACAAGGTCACATGGGGCTTCTTGTCCCATCCCAAAGGGACAGAACAAAGAGCCCCAGCAAGTTCCTGAGTACACCCACTGGCTCAGGGGTATTTTTAATTCCTAGGTTTGTTCTCTTGGGGTGGCTCCTTAAAGTACTTAATCCATACCTAGATTAGAAATTCTAAAGCATGCCAGGTATGGTGGTGCATGCCTTTAAGCTCAGCACTCAGGAAGCAGAGGCAGAGGCAGGCAGATCTCTGTGAGATCAAGGCCATCCTGCTCTACACAGCTGGGGCTACAGGGAGACCCTGCATTAAAAAACTGAAAACAAAGAGCTGGGAGTGGTGGTGTACACCTTTAATCCCAGCACTTGGGAGGCAGAGGCAGGCAAATCTCTTTGAGTTCTAGGTCAGTTGGGGCTATAGGGAGACCCTGTCTCAAAAAGACCCCCCCAAAAAACCCCCCATGAAATCCTAAAGCAACATCAAGTGACATGGGAGTTGTAAGCCTCTCTAATGGGGCTTACATGTGAGTAATGGTGTAAGCTTAGCCTGGTGTGTGAGCTCACATCTTCAGTCTGGACTATATATTGCTGGGCTAGTGATCCAAAGGAGGTTAGACTTTGCTCAATGAAACTGCCCTTCTGGTTGGTCAGAAGCCAGATGCCAAAACAAGCCTTGAGGACTTTACCATTTGATGGATAACAAGATGCTTTCCAAATTCACTATGGCTGTTACTTGGCAGACACTGAGAAGTGTCACTGGTTGTCCCTGGGAAGATTAATTCCCAGATCTACATGGATACCAACATCTAAAGATGCTCAAGTCTCTATATAAATCGTGTATGTAGTATTAGCATATAACCCTACACATATCCTTTTGTGTGTTCCAAGTCATCTCTAAATTACTTATACCTAATACAATGTAAATGTTGCATACTATTCCCAAACTATTATTTTGGGAATAATGATAAAAAATATCTCTCATTTTTGATCTGTGGTTCACTGAGTTGGTGAATGCAAAACCATATATACAGAGGGCCAACTACCAAAAGACAAAGCACTACTGTCTCGCTTTGCCTGGGAAGCAAGGAGTTCAACTCTGATTGAAATTAGTCAGTGTAACCCACCTTTATGCCCTCTAGTGGGCATCTTATTCTCCCATATGCTAGTGAACAGGTGGGTGGCAGCAGCTCATTGGATTCTGACCCAGGGCCACACCAGACGGCCACCTGCCTGTTGTGTGAAAGAATGGTGCCTTGACAGAGATGTCAAAAAGCGAGCAAGGTTTGGGAGGATGGCTAATTAGAAACAAAATCGCAAACCAAACTAAACAGCCTGTCCTTGCTTCTTCAATGGCCACACTGGCATGTTGGCTCTAGATAAAGAACTCTTGACAGCAAAGGGGCCAAGTAAGAACTCTTTTACCTCATTCACCACCATCCTCAACATTTTACTTATAGTTTTCAAATTGAGCCTAGAATTCCTTTATAAAATGCCAAGTGCTGTCTGTCATTCCTTGGTGAGAAAAATGCCAAAGGTAACAGGACCAGCCACATTTCATAGAAAACTAGTAACAGAGAAATTTTTACTTTTGAAGACTGGTCTTGTCAAAAGTGTAGCTTCTCCCAATGCCAGGAATATACTCCCTCTTTTGAAGCTGTTGACCAGGGGTCTCAGAGACTCTCAAACAATACTGGCCACTGACCCTGCTCTTGGCTACCCGCAGGACTTCATGGTTAAGACTCTTACTGAAGACAAAATATGCTTGGCGAATTAAACTGCATCCTGAGTATGTATGTCTAGAGAACCTTGTAACTCATGAGAAAGTTTATGCAAGAATGCTTGCTAGGGAGTTATCTATCCTGGTGCTCCCCTAGTTTCTCAGGAGACATTTTGATCTCCCAAGAAGGCATACTATGTTGATATTATCTTGCTCATTATATTTTTCTGAACTGCTGTATTCTAGCCACTTTATTATTGTTCACTGTTCTATAAATATTCATCTATAGCTCTAATGAGTATGAGAATATAGCAGAGCTGATGATGCAATCAGCACTCAGGTACACAGAAGCCCTGGGTCCTCTGGTCTATTTTCAGTTCCGTGGTAATCCATTCAGGTCCTGTGGTTGCCCCCAGTGGCCACATAGGCCCAGTGGTTCAATAATGGCATGAATATTATAGGAGTGACCAACTACTTTCTTTTTTAAAAATATTTTATTATCTTTTATTTTATTTTATGTGTATGCGTGTATTGCCTGTATGTAGGTAAGTTCACCCATGTCGTGCAATGCCCACGGAGGTCAGAAGAGGCTGTTGGTCCCCTGGGACTGGAGTTATGGACAGTTGTTAGCTGCCATGTGGGTGCTGGGATTCGAACCCGGGTCTTCTGCAAGAACAGCCAGTGTTGTTAACCACTGAGCCATCTCTCCAGCCCCCTCAACTACTTTCTAATTGAATTTTAGGTTCACTTTGGAGGATGGAGCCCATACATGACATATCAGGCCTAGGAAGCTGAGGCTAGAAAGCCCACAGGCCACTGGAGAAAGCCTAATGCAATTATTCTACTAAATACATAACAGTATTAAACTGATCTCTAATGACTTATTATGCCCACAGATTAATACATCTCTCTCGACTCTCAACAGAAAAGCTTCTTTGTACAATAGGTGATAATTAACACAGGGAACCCCAACTGGTCAACATGTAGGGAATAAGAGGCTGCAGACTAGTTATCACTGAATAGGACGCCTATATCAAATTTCTACCTCCCAAATCTCAGAGATCACTGTGGAAGAGGGGGTAGAAAGACTGTAAGAGCCAGAGGAGGTGGATGACCACAAGAAAACAGTTTTCCAGTTATTCATATGAACTCAAGCAACAATGACAGCATGCACAAGTCCCATGCAAGTTCAAACCAGACAAAATCCCAGCATAGACACGGGGAAGTGGGTAAGAAACCCCAACCCTACCTGAGGAATTATTGGCAACCAATGGCTGCTAGGAAGGGAAGATGACTCTTGGTAGGCTGACCAGGTTTCGGTGGAAGAACCCACACAAAAGGGCATTTGAAGACACAA